TTATTTAGGTAGTTAAAATTTTAATAAAAAATTTATTTTTTTTGAAAACTCTAAAATGTTTGTAGGTCCTTAACTTACTTTACGATTAGGTAAAATAAAAATCTGTAATCAATTTAATTTATTTTCAATCGATTTTCATTAAAGCGTAAAATCGGTTGTGGATTCGTATATCCCATTATAATTATTCTTATTTCAAAACCTGTAATCCGCTGAATATCCTCAAAAAAAAAACTATTTTAAAACAGAATCGGACATTTTTTATCAAAGTTATATTGTTGTAGATCTGTATATATTAATCCCATCACTTATATTTTCCATCAGTAAACTTTTTTTTATTTCAAAACCATTAATTTGCTGTATATCCTCAGAAAATAACAATTTTAAAAGAGAATCGGATGTAGTTTCCTACGATCGAGAAAACTTTAAACTACATATATTAGATGTTGAATGAATGTCTACGATGCCACTTTTGTATGCAGTACTGAACAAAAAAACTATAACTATATTAGATCTTCAATGAATGTCTACGATGTCACTTTTGTATGCAGTACTGAACAAAAACCGCTCCTAAAATAGGGTAAATAATATATTCATATTACATTTTTCACAAAAATTCGAATTTTAAATTTAAATCTACAAATCCATCTAGAAAATCATTTATATCTCCCCTTAAAATTTCTATTTATATAACTCTTTAAAAATTTACTTTTAATAACTCTTAATTCGAGAAAAAATAAAGATCCGTAATCACTCATATTTTTCATACAAAAATATAAAATTTAAATTTATTGTTAAATCGAGATAACAATAAAAATCTGCAATAAGTTAAAAAAACCATCAAAAATTATATTGATTGCCATGCAGCTCGGTTGCCATGCAGCTCAAATCTAAAAAACTATGATATGTATTTAACTATTCATTAGAGTGTCCTGAAAGACAGCACTTTTGCAAATCTTATATAGGTATACCTCTGAAACGATAAATATAATACTATGTTTCCACTGGCTTGAAATCTACTAGATTTGCGTAAATCTCTTCAATGTGTTTCCACTGACCTTACTCGTTTTTGATATTCGAATTTTCGAACAAATCCCGTTATTTTATTTTAATATAATGACAGTAATGTTAATTTCTTTAAATTTGAACATTAAAAATACAAAATTACAGTTGTAAAAGTATAAATTTGTTTATCAAATGCCACTGTTTTTATTCTGTTTTTATTTCAAAATTAAAAGTAACTTTTTCGATGAAAACATTCAACTTGAATGGTTAGCCTATAGTTGTATTTGCTTATCTTAGACACAATGCGTATTACACAATGTTGTATTACATTTTCGACATGTTTTAAATCAAATCTAGTAGATTAAGTAGATTTGGATTTGTCAAAAATGTATGACAAATCTACATGATTTCAACTAGTTTTCTCCAAATCCATTAGATTTGCTCAAAACACCTCAGTGGAAACATAGCATAAAGCATTGTTCATATAAAATATAGATGAATTCATCTTTCAATATCTTTTTATACTTTTAGAAAATTATCCACCAAAAATTCTGCACGTATGTAGCACCGTATTTATTCCAAGCTTTTTAAATTAAATAATGATTTTGAATAATTCCAGCACACATTTTCCAAATTCCGAAATTTTTTAATTAGAGGAAGATGTGGATATTTTAATAAGTAAAATTATTTGGGTAACTTTTTTGTATATCTAACGATATTTGATCTTTAAACCTTCATTTCTTCGGATTTAATAAGTGGTGTCTAAATCCATCCAAAACTTTAGTGTGGATGCATAAAAGCTAATGAATAAAAATAATATTTTTAAACATACTTTTTTATAAATGGATGTATTTTTGAGAAACAAAGACGAAAAAACGGTGGTTTTACTCTTTAATGAACAGCTCGAAATTGTTTGTCAAATTAAAAGTAGTTTTGTTTTCTCTGTCAATATTCAAGGATTCTTCATATTTTCCTAGGGCAGAAAAAAACGTAATTTTGTTCTTTTTAAAGGAATTTGAAATCAATGAGCCCAAATTTTTAATGATTTTGTGCAGAATTTCTCATAATCGTTTCAGAGTTTTTTCAATTGCATGTACTTTTTCAAACAGCAAAAAAACGCTTGAAATTTTATAGGGTTAATGGCACGTATTTTTGAAATTAATAAAATGCCCCGAAGACTTTTGCCCCTTTACACCAGGGGCACTAAAATTCAAAGTGCGGTGTGACGTAATTTAAACTGAACAGTTCTTTAAATCTACTGCACATGGAAAAAATAAAACAAATCATTTGAAAGTGTCCTTAGTTCCCTACCAGTGATTGAAAATGCTGACTTCAGTATAATTTCTCAAAAAAAGTTTTTTAAATTTTTCTACAAATTTCCTAATTTAAGCTAATTTTCAATTTCTAAAATTTTAAGGACTTTTTGGTCCAGAAACTGACTTTAAGGATTAAAAAAATGCAGCAAAATAAAATAACTATTTTATCGTTATAAGATACATTTTGGTATTTATTTCAAAAAAAGTCATTACAGATAGAAAAATATTCTCTTTACTTTTTGAAGAAACCCGGACAACGCCGGGTACACGCAGCTAGTATGTGTATAAAGCAGACCGTTTGTTTGTGTGTTTGATTGTTACGCTTTCACGGCAAAACTACTCAACCGATTTACATGAAATTTGGACCGCTAATAGGTCTAACCCCAAAAGGAACAATAGAATATATGAGATCATGATCGGATGACACGCCCTTTTTAACGCCCATTTTTTGTAAAACTATTATTACACAAATTTTGCAATCACAATATGCAAAAACTACTAAACCGATTCACCTGAAATTTTGCATGCCGATAGGTATAAGTTCGAAAAGAACTATAGGCTATATATAAGATCTTGATCCGATGCCACACCCCTTCTACGCGTACTTTTTATAAAATTATTCTATCCTATAATTATGTGTACAGGGCTGCCAGATGAATTTTTGAAAAAATCGTCAATTTCCCAATAAATTTTTAAATAATTGTCATTTTGGTTTTAAGAAATCGTCAAAAAATCGGAGAATATGAAAAGCTTAAAATTTGTATAAAAAATTAAAAATATTGTAATATTTTAAGATGAAATATATTAAAAAAATTTTATATTAATACATATTTATGTAAAATTCGAAAAATACGGAATATTATTGCTCAAGATTCAATAAACTTTGAGTTTTGAAGAATATTCGACAGTAATGTTAATTCTTTTCTAATGTTCTCATAATGTTCTGGCATTTTTTAAAATATCAAACATAAATACTGCTAAAATTTACATAGTGTTCACATATAGTTTTTAGGTATAGAAACTTGTTCATCTTTTTCCTTAAATTTCTCAAAGTTTGTTGCATCAAAATATTGCTTGTTTTGGTGCACAAGGAATATTTTAATCTTTTTAAGCAAAAAAACTGTTTGTAAAATTTTTTTAAGTTTTCTGTAAACAAGTACTTATCCAGCAAAAAATATTCTTGATTTGGAAGCAATAAATATAACTACTGTATCTTTAACTCCTTCTTCTATTGCATCTTAAAATTATTGCCTTACAAAAAAGATTTTGGAAGGCACATATTCAGCAATTATTGTTTGTGGTGTAGAAATTTGCTTCTCAACAGCTCTAAAATCACTTAATTTTTGCATCTTTTTAAATATAAATCAATGTTCAGTGTTGAAAAATAATATTAATTAATAATATTATTATATATATACATATATATATATATATAGCCTATAGTTCTTTCCAAGCTTTTACCTATCGGTATGGAAAATTTCAAGTTAATCGGTTTAGCAGTTTTTGCATATTGTGATTGCGAAATTTGTGTAATAATAGTTTTACAAAAAGTGGGCGTAAAAAGGGACGTGGCATCCGATCAAGATATTATATAGCCTATTGTTCCTCTTGGGGTTAGACCTATTAGCGGTCCAAATTTCATGTAAATCGGTTCAGTAGTTTTGCCGTGAAAGAGTAACAAACAAACAGTCTGTCTTATATATATATATATATATATATATATATATATATATATATATATATATATATATGTATATAGGTTATATAGGATAATTCGTAAAAAAGTATTTTGTTTACAATTGAACGCCATGTTATTAACATCAAGTATAGGTCCTTCAACAGGAATTATTACTCCATTCCAAATATTTGTTTTTCATCAACTTTCAACTCAAGCTCAAATTAAAGCTTCTAGGAAAATTTTTGTGAACAAATCTTATGCAGAAAAGTGTCTACTTTCAAATGATATATCATTTGTTTTAAAAGGATCAGTTTTCATTTTTGACTTATCGCCACAGGTCTCTATGTGGCTGCACCATCGTGCAATGTGATAATTCTGTTTTTGAAAGCACTCTTCTCCCTTTTAATAAAACCATTAAATGTTGATTGTTCTGCAGCAGCACTGCTTCGAGTGGGTGTATGACTTATTTTATGCATTTTTTATTATTGGTGATGACAAAAGTTTTTAATAAAACACTTTTTTTCGAATTTATTAACAATATTTTTTGAAAAAAATTTTCTTGATATTACATATTGAACTAAGTTTAATCCCGCGAAGCCAATTGGCTTGTCTGCAGGATGTGGTTAGTACATACATGTGAAAATATTATACATTTCATTGTGTTTCTACATAAAATTTTTAAATTTTTGCTTTTCTTAGATTTAGGTTAGTAATGTTTAATAAATAGGAAGGTAATTGACTAAATATATTAGATAGTGTGACGTATAGAGTATTTTTGCCATAGTTGTTCTTGTGGCGTTCCACCTTGTATCTTCCTTCTACACGCCACCTCGTGTGGTAGTTGTGGTCGATATGTATGAAGAAGCGTGGATCATTGTAAAATTCATTTATCAATATAGTCTGATATATGCTTTGTATATTTAATATTTGTAGTCCATTAGCGATGGTAGTTGTTGTGGTGTTATTGTTTATGTTGTTGCCGGAAATAGTTTGTGTTGGGTAAATTGAATATTGGAGTTTGTATTGTTGTTGTGTGTGTTAAGGTTGATTCTAACTGCTGTGTTGACGTTACTACTGTGGTAATTGTTTGGATTTATTGTGTGTGTGCTGTTTTGTAGGTTGTTGTCGCTGATGGTAAAATAGTTGCGATTGTTTGTTGTACCATATATTAGGGCAGGTTCTATTTGCTGACTGTTATGTTGTTTGTGTTTTAATAAGATTTTTAGTATTTGATTTTGGGTTTGTTGTAGGGATTTACAATATGTAGAGTTGTCCCATGCCGTTATACCATGCCTAATATAAGACTCAGCTAGCGAAAAATAGGCTTGCTTGAGTACGTCGAATGTAGAGCAATTACTTAAGTGGTAGAGACTGTATGACACTTTCCTTAATTTCTTTCTAACATGCTGTATGTGCGTTAGCCATTTGAAGTTTGCATCCACATATACGCCGAAATATTTGTATGACTTTACTATCTCTATAATAGTAGAACATGTATCATTCGTGTTCTGATTCTTGGTGTTATGTAGGCATTGTAAATCATGAAAATATATTTTGACTTCAGTGCTAGCGATATGATTTGGTTTTATGTGCATGAGTTTAGATTTGGCTGCGTAGATAACAAGTCCATTGTCGTGGCACCATCTAGAAACTTGGTTAAGTTGCTTTTGCATTATATCGCATGCTATTTCAACGTTTCTATGTGTCACTACTATGGCTGTATCGTCTGCATAAGCAAAAACCGAACATTCATTAAGCATTTCAATCATTTTTTGAATCATAGTAGACAGTTTCCTCTAATACTGTTTCGTTCTAGGATGTTCAATAAATTACTATGAGAAAGCGTATCTAAGGCTTTACTGAAGTCAATGAAAAGGGCAAGGCAATGTAAATTATCCTCTAGATTCTTATTGATGTGGGTAGCAAAATTTCCCAAGAGTTTATTAATATTTGTCCTTTTTTGGAAGCCGTATTGGTTTTGGTTTAGTCTGCGAACTAATATTTCCTCCAGGACTTTCTCGATCACCGGCAGTATTGAAGTTGGTCATAATTGTTATAATCATTTTTGGCACCAGCTTTATATATCGGTCGAATTAATGATGTTTTAAGTAGTTTAGTTATAGTGGATTCAAAAATGCTTTCGTTTATAAATTGAGGGATTACAGGGGTGATTTTTTTCATTTCAAATCTTTCGGTCTTATACGATCAACACTTGGACCTTTTTTAGGTTGTAGACTACATAGTATACCATAAATCTCTTCCTCTGTGGTAAGAGACATAAACATTGAATTTATAACAGTTTTTGGTTTGCTTTTAAAAGTTTGTATATCACAATTGTGTAGTATTTTTTGAACATTTTCTTTAAAGTTTGTTGCAAATGCGTTGTTATGTTTATTAAGTTTTCATTTTTGATGCTATTTTTAATTGTTGAGTCTATATTGTTTGTTTTTTTTACCAATAATTTCATTTATGAGTTGCCATGTAACTCGCGTATTGTTTTTATTTTCGGTAAATTTTCTTTTAAAATAATTGTTTTTTGCGTAATATAGTTTTTATTTAAGCAGTTTCGAAATTTTTTATACTCATATTCGTAATTTTCGTTATTTTTATTATTTAACCATTTAATATAAAGTTTATCCCGAACATCACAATATCTTACTAACTCTTCACTCATCCATGGATTCACTTTTCTTCTTTTTGTGTTGTTTTTATTAGTATATTTAGATTTTAGATATATATTATTAAATGTTTCATATATTTTATTGCATATTTCATTAGTATTCATATTTTGAGTAACTAATTGACTACAATTTATTTCTTTGGTGAATTTATTTACTTTATAATTGTTAATTGTTGAGCCTTGACAAAGAGTGCTTTGCATTCCCTGTTTTTTTTTTGTGAGTTTCCCGTACCCTGGTTTACTTGTGTTTCTTTATCTTCTTTCATACAACAAAAGAGCGAATAATGGTCAGATATATTTGACCTCATTATTGTAGCGTGTGTTTGTGTGATTTTTCTGTTTGTTCTGATGTGTATGTGATCTATACAAGAGCGAGTTTTCTTATTAAAGGTGGTATTAGACGACATGTATTTTACATACATGTATGTACTGTCACTTTTTTATCCATATGTAATTCCGAATGTATGTCAAAATTGTTATTTTACATACGTTTCATAATTTTTGCTATCACACCTGCCTGTATTTTTCCGTATGACATAACCTATAATGTAATTAAAGCTGTCTTTTTAATGCGTAAAAATTGTTAGAATTATAAATTACCCAGTAAAAACTTTCATTACCATGTAAGGGGTTAAAATGCTAAAATTTACTTACACAATAGCATTTTAAGTCATTATTTTAACACGGTGATGTCATTGGAGGCAAGTACTTACCACAAACGATTACAAGTAATTAGAAAAAGTAGTCATTGTAAATCGCATGAAAAAACGTGTACAGCTTCTATATCTTTACTGGCAAGATGACTAATGAATTAGAAAGTATTTATATAATACATTATTAGTAAGACCTTATTAGACCACTTATATGTAATCCAGGCGATATGTAGTAGTCATTGAAAAGTATGTTGTTAGGTAAGTAATTACAATTGAAAGCTATTACCCAGTTTTTGCTGGGTAGTTTATTAAAAATTAAAAAATACTTACTTTTTCATGTTCTTTATTCATTTTCTTTAATTTACTTTTTTCAAAAAATTTTATTTCAAAGCAAAACAGTTGTTGTGTTTATGTTTGTCATACGAAAATAGAGCACGCTCTAATCGAAAAAATTACATACAGTGTCTCTCATAAGTAATCGAATTTAATGTATTAAGAAAACAGACATCATTTTATAAAAGATTTTGTGGAAAAAATAAATAAATAAATTTATTATGTAGTCCAGACAGTCCTTAAATTTTATATCACCTTTTAAAATATGTAAAAAAAATAATTTACTTAAACTAATTTACCTTTTTTTTTAAAAAAAAAGTGCAAAAAATAGCTTCACGAAAGTATTCGAATTTTTAATGATTTAAAAGTTGTTCTTGTAAATATAACCACAAATTTTCAATGGAGTTTAAGTCCAGACATTAACTCCATTGAAAATTTGGTGAAAGAAGATACATAGTGTTGTAAATGATCAACATTTTCAAGTACCAGGTCGTGTATTTCGGAACGTTTTTCTGTTGAAAAATAAATTGAATGGGTTGTAGCCCCATTTTGGTGGTACTAGCATGCAAATTCAGCTCTAAAATTGACAAGTGGACTTCTAGTCTATAATTAAAATAATAAATTTTAGCAGTCCAACACCGTGGACGGACACAAAATCCCAAAATATGACTAAGCAACTTGGGTCCTTTACAGTTGGTTTTAAGTTAGATAATTCCAAGGCATCTCCAAGCTTTCGCCATATCATTTGACGACCATCTGAGCAAAAAATATTATATTTGTTCTCATCGTCGAAGATAACCTCCATCCAGAATCCAATATTCTTACTTATGTGTCTATTTGCTCGATGGAATTCTTTGTTCCATGCGTGTAATGACAAAATATATTGTCGATGGGAATCTATCAATCATTTCCTATATGTATATAATTGATCGGCCTTGATTATACAGATATAAATTAATTTTTTAATTTGAATTCATCAACTCTTTTTCTTTGAACATTTTAAGCGCTTACACAGGAAGGATTTACAACATAATTATGCAATTTTGCAAAAAAAATATAATGTTAAATATTCCATATAACCACTACCTGCATAATGGCTTAATTAATGGCAATAAAACACGTGTTCAAGGATTCTAAAAAAGTTCTTAGAAAAAACTCGAATATTTTTGCGCAGTACCTAAAATGACTGAAATCGGTTTTTTCCATTTTCTTGGAAACCATTAATGAGTTTTTATTACTTTTTTCTTGTATTTCGTAAAAATAATAAAAATTAATAAAATGTCATTAACAAATTTTAAATACAATTATTATTTTTAAAGTAGCATCATAAAATAACATAGTAATTCATAAAAAATAATCAATTCTAATATTTATGTGAGACACTGTATGTATTTCCACATGTATTTTACATATGCAATGTTTCACATGTATCAGACGATATGTACAACTTTTACAGATGGAAATTTTGACAGTACATATGTAAAATACATATCGTGTAATACCACCTTAATATCTTCTCTTAGGTTTAGGTAAGAAGGGCAGCCATTCAATCAAGGATGAGTGGCTCACATGGGTCCACCTAATTGCGGTCCCGTTGTGTTACCCTAGTGGTCGTAGGGGTACGCTTGACTATTACTCTCTACTTCCAGATTTAAACCAACCGGTTTGATTCACAAAGTTTAGGATATTCTTTAGGCATATCCCAGATAGCTCATCCAGACAAGATAAAGCAGCAAGGCCAAAACATTGTTCTCTACTTTCATTGAAAGATGGGCAATAGCAGAGAAGGTGAGGTATTGTTTCCTCTTCTTCATCATTATTACAACTCCTACAGTAGTCGTTATATTCGAGACCCATTCTTCTGGCATGATTACCAATAGTACAGTGTCCCGTTATGACTGATATCAGCATTCTAATCTGTTCCCTGCGAAAGCTTAATAGCAAGCTTGACCTGGGAGCGTCATATAGAGGCCAAATTGACCTCGAATTGAGACAGGTGGTTTCACTGAACCATCTGATTTGAGCCATTTCATATAGTTCGTTCTGAACCAGTAACTTACAGTTAGTAAGAGAGATGCCAGTAAATGCGTCGATTTCATCTTCCCCTCTCATCGCACCATTTCTGGCAAGTTCGTCAGCTATACAGTTTCCCTGACAATTACTATGTCCAGGGACCCATATTAGCGTTATCCTAGAATGTCTCGCTATCTCGTTCAAAGATACCCGGCATTCTTCGGTTAACCTAGATGTCGTAAATACACCCGCTAGATTTTTAATCACAGCTTTGCTGTCCGTATATATACATATATCACCCGATATTTGATAATACCTCAGCCAGTTTGCGACTCGCTTTATAGCAGAAATCTCTGCCTGTAAAATACTGCAATAATTAGGTAGCCTAAAAGAGGATTTGATTCCAAATCTTTCAATGTAAAAGCCACCACCCACTCTTCCACTCCTCTTGGAGCCGTCAGTGAAAACATTCGTTACACCATCCGTTGAGTGTGACTCGTGTGCTGAATTCCTATTTGGAATTCGGATGTGAAAGCGTCTATCGAAGTGAGGTTTCGCAACGCAATAGTCTACATTAAGATGCAAAGATTCGAAGTGTTTAATTATTCGTGAGTGCCCTATACCTCTACTACCGGACCACGAACCACACGCGTTTAGCCTGATTGCAGAATTAAAGGCCAGTTGAATCGCCATCAGGTCAGCTGGTAACCAGTTCATTATGGTTAGCAGGGCCTTCGTTGGCGTCGTCCTCATTGCCCCCGTGATTAGGATTGCAATATTTCGTAAGGTACGTTCGATGGCTGCACAATGAGAAACGATTTCCAATGCCTGCCACCAAACAATAACACCATAAAATAATATGGGCTTAACAACTGCTTTGAAGATCCAGTTGATACCTTTAGGGTTGACACCCCAGTTTGAACCAACTGCCCTCTTGCAGGTATAAATATCTATATTAGCCTTATTTATCCTATTTTGGATATTCATATTCCAGGATAGTTTACTGTCAAGGATTACTCCAAGGTATTTCGCATGATCAGTGAGATTGAGCCTTATTCCATTTAACTTCGGAGGCATGAAATTTTCAATCTTATACTTCCTTGTAAAAAGAACCAGTTCAGTTTTCAGTGGATTTACACTGAGGCCACAGGAAACACTCCACTTGCTAAGCAAGTTAAGAGCAGATTCCATGCAATTTGATATAGTATCCAGGAATTTACCAGTTACCACTACCGCGACATCATCAGCATAAGCGACAGTCTTAATTCTCCTTTTATCTAGTTCAATTAGTAAGGAGTTCATAGCCACATTCCAGAGTAGGGGAGATAGGTGGTGTGCCACGACTGGCAAGTCTTGAGACATTGACTCCGCCCATCGTTGCACTTATGACCCTATTACTCAGAAGTTTTACTATAAGCTGCTGAGTTTTCTGATCAATCCCTAGTCCATCAAGTGCGTCTATAATGGCATAGGGTTCGACATTGTTAAAGGCACCTTCAATGTCCAGGAAGGCAACAAGGGAATACTCTTTGTGCGCTAGTGAACTTTCTACATGTCCCACTAGCGAGTGTAGAGCCGTTTCAACAGACTTGCCTTTGGTATAGGCATGTTGTGATTTGGAGATCAATTCCGTAGGGATAGTTAATCTCAGGTGTACATCAATGACTCTCTCGAGAGTCTTGAGAAGAAAAGACGCGAGACTGATTGGTCTGTAGTCCTTTGGTTTCGTATGTCTTTCCCCCTTTTGGAATAAAGACTACATTATATCTCATCCACATATGAGGGATGTATAGTAACCTAAGGCATGCCTTATAGATAGACAGCAGCCATGGAATGACGAGATCTTCGTTCTTTTGAAGATCCGCAGGTATAATACCATCAGGACCCGGAGATTTGTATGGGTCAAAACTGTTAAGCGCCCATTGGATTCTCTCTCTATTAATGATTATAGAGCAAGTATCAGACGTTAGATGAACCGGGGTTGCAGTCTCTTCATTAAGAGGTTGACAGCCCGGAAAGTGAGTGTCCAGCAGAACTTCCAAGGATTCTCTGCAGGACATAGTCCAGTTACCACAGGGCTTTTGAATATAGCTCGGGACAACATGTGAAGTAGACAGAATTTTGCGAAGTCGATTGGTCTCGGTCTCGGTAGAACCTTCAACATTTGTGCAGAAGTCCCTCCACGCCTTCCGCTTCGCATTTCTAGTCAAGTTTTTGAAACGATTCACTGAGGTCTTATAGGGTATCCAGTTATTGGTCCTTTTTGCCTCATTGAACAGTTTACGACATACTTTTCTAGCGTTTGCTATTTCAGTGTTCCACCATGAGGGTTTGGATTTTCCTCTCTTGATGGAAGGTTTACAGGCAGTTGTAGTCGCCATACGGAAAGCATCCGTTAGGGTGTGAACTGCTGCATTAATGTCCTCAGTACTTTCTAGAGTAGGGAGAGAAATTAGAGACGAGGAAAGTAGGTTATATTGAACTTCCCAGTTCGTCTTCCTTCTATTTAGAATACTATTCATATTCCCTTTTATATTACCAATCAGAAAGTCTATATATCGATGGTCTGACAAAGAACAGTCATTAGATACGGTCCAATGCGTGATACATTCGCGGTGCTTAGCACTCACGAGAGTAATGTCTAGTACCTCTCTTCTGTTAGATACAATGAAAGTGGGTTCTGAACCCCTATTTACTACTTCCAAATTTCTACTAATAATGAAATTGAAAAGTTGCTCACCTCTTGTGTTGGTGTCACTACTACCCCAGATACTGTGGTGCGAATTAGCGTCAGCACATATGACGACAGGGATGTTGTGCATGTTCGCCTTGTCTACCAATCTTCGGACATTGTTGTTGGGAGGACAATCCCCGTGATCCTGGGCCATATAGCTTGAAACCAGCCATGTAGTTGTGTCGCCATGTTCTAGTGCGGCTGCAATCGTATCATCATCACTGAAATCAGATAAGATGAAGATATGAAGAGAGCTCTTGGCCAGAATACAGGACCTTACTTTACCTGAACTTTTAACTTACAGGATTTTATAGTCCTTATGTTGTAGTCCGCAAACCCGATCCTGATGGATCCATGGTTCTTGGACCATTATAAGCTCCTCCCCTCTCTGCGCCACTCGGAGGAGCAATGTAGCTGATGCTGCTTTAGAGTGGTGTAGATTGATTTGAGTCAACCTCACCATCTCCTGGGGTAACAACATCGGCGTTGGCGATCTCCTGGGATAGACCCAGAAGGTCGTCATCGTCGACCTCCTCATCCTTCCGAGTAGAGAGTTTGCTCATCAATTCAGAGACTGACTGAGCATCATCTCTGTCGGAGGGATCAGAGGTTGTGTTGCTAACCGTGCCTTCTGTTGACTGCACGGTCAACTCATCATCCACCTCCACCTTCGGAGAGGGATCGCCCTTGGAATCGCTACGATAAACATGGAGGAAGATCGTTCCGAAGCCGTAATAGACCTTCCTCTTTGTTTCTCGCAGCGGTTCCAAGGATTCCTTATTCAGGACTACGATCACATGTCTTGAAGGTCCATCAGCCTCTGAAACCCTTACAACTTTCCAATCATTTGTTGGAAGCTGAGGGTTACAGCACTTTAGGATCTCCAAGATCTCTTCGGGAGTGGAGGGCTCAGACGGTATTTTGGCGATGGATCGAGGCCTGCGTGGAATCTCCTCAGGAGTCACCACATCAAGCTTAGATCCATCCCATACCTCACCCAATAGTGAAATGGCAGACTTGAGCAGCAACGCTGAGCGTTCGTCTGCACATGTCATTAGTTTAACGTGACCCTGGAACCATCCAGCGTCATCGCATTGAGGAGGAGTGCCTGGGTTCTCTTTGAGAACTTGCCAGAACACTCCCATGAGTTTTTGCTTCACCACATCCCAGTTAGACTGGGATATGGATCCGTCAACATCGCTTCGGTCGATGACGGCTCGAATGAGGCTGTCTTTGGCAACCTCACTGAAGGAGCGCGTCATTGACTTCTGCACCTGTTTTGGACGTTTCGTCCCTAACTGCTGGCTTGCGGAAGCTGCTTCCTCCTCTGAACGTTGCCGTTTAGGCGCCGCTTCCGTTTTCACTTCGGCGGGAGGAGAAGCATTGTCGTTGCCAGCGATCTGGGCTTTGGCCCATTGGAGGGAAGCTGATTGCTCCGTAGTGAGTTCCCCGGGTGGTTTGGACCCGAGTAGCTCAATAATCCTAAAGGCGGAACGCCTTGTAGTTGCCGCCCGCTTGGAGGGTTTTTTGTGCCGAGTCGATTGTTGATTGTCGGACTTGGCAGGGGGTGGTACATCCCCAGGACAGGAGGATACCGTCACTGAGCCTGGAGGTACAATTGGCACTTGGGAAGCTGATGTAAGAGACGACTTAGCCGACCCCTTATCATCAGTACCCGAAGCAGGGTTTTTAACCGCCTTAGCGGTTTGGGCTGCAGCAGCTTTAGAGGTACTTGATGAGAAGTCCAGAGGTACCTCGCCACCTGATGAGCAACTACGAAAAGTTTTAAATTTATTACATTCAGCCAGCCTGGGTGTACCAAACTGGCCTCCTGCGACGCCGGTAACTCGCAAACTAGCCTGACCCGGTGTGGCCGCCTGACTAGTCCGGGTAACAGTCGCATTCGACTTTCCACAGCCCATTACCGTCGCTGTGGAAGTAGGGTCCCCGGAGATTATGAAGCCCCTGACCGGGTACGCGGGGCATGCTTCCTTCTTCTCTTCCATGTTTTGTCCTTGTGACAAGTGCATTTTTAACCTACTGCCAGGTTAAACTGCCGACCCCACAGGGGAAACAGACGCAGACCACCAGCCGCCCAATATGGGAACAGACGCTGGTGGATTCAGACGGACGTTACACATTCAAGTGTAAGGTTCATAGAACCAGCCGGACTTGCTTTCCACGACCACCCCTCTCAGTGAGGGGAGAATAGCCGTGGAAAGCGTCTGATTAGCCGTCCCATAGGGAAACAGACGCTACCAGACAGGGGGAGGGGTAGTTCTTAGTTTCGCGCTCAGTGTAAACCCGTCTGGAATGGGTGACCCTACCAGGAATAGCCAACTTATGATTGCCATTCCCTCCAGCATGGCTTTACAGATCATGGCGCTTAAGCATCTGCATCACGTCAAGATGACTACCCATCGCAGATATCTTCTCTTGTTGTCTCATTTATTATACATTGTAACCCATTCGACGATATCATTTCTGTGTAAACTTGTTGTTGTGATATTTTGATTTTGAATATTTATGTTAATATCGCCATCGATGATTATGTCTTGTTTACTTTTAATCGTGTTTATAATATTATCGAGTTCCATTATGAACTCATTTACACTACTTTTTGGCGGTCGATATATTGTAATGAGAGAGAAGGTTTTTTTTTATTTTTTGTTACATTTATTTGTAAAGATTCAAAAGATGATGTATTTAATTGAATGTTTGTGTGCATTATGTTTTCTCTTATATAAACGGCTACAACTCCTCCTCTGCCATCTCTGTTAAGAAAGTATGAATTGAAACCGTTTATGTTGTAGGATTGCTGTTCATCATCTGAGATATTAGTTTCAACTAACAATAGGAAATTAATGTTGTTTATAATATTATGAAGGCTAGCTAATAATGGTGTAAAATTTAATCTAAGTGACCGAATGTTCAGAAATAAGATAGTTGTGGGATAACTTAAAAAGTTTTTGTTTATTTGTTGAAAATTATCAATAATTTCCGTAGAATTTTGCATATTTATTGTTAATAAAGTTTAAGCAACGGTAGTTTGTTTTGTTTATTTAAATTAAAGAAGTAATAAGCTCAATATCTGTAGCGTATATTATTATTATTGGATCCGAAATTTCATTTTTCTTGGCGTAAATATTTCCATTTCGTATCCAGACGAATCTCCAATTAGATTCCCTGGCTTTTGTTTTGGCTAGCCAAAGTAGACGCCGTTTATAAGGGGTTAGGTGTTCATTTATGTTAATATATTTGTATTGGTATTATCATTATCATTTTCATTATTAATTATGCTTGCATCTATTCTGTGTCTCTTAATCTTTTTTAACAATTCTCTTTTTTTGTTGAGAGAAGTAAATTCTACAATTACTTTTTGTGATTTTTTCAAGCTATACGAGTTGCTAATATCGTTATCGTTTATATCAATATTCAGTGAGTTAGCAATCGTTTTTATAACATCATTGGGTTGAAGATTTTCGTTTGTAACGTTTTTTATTTCGATATTTTTGCTTAAAACCATTTGTTCTAAATCATTTATGCGTTTGTCCATCTCTTGTATTTGCTTCTCTTTTTCTTTTACTTGGGTAGCACGAGTAGAAATAGAGTTAGTTATAGCAGTAAGAGCATTTTCTAAATTTGTGTTTGTTTGTACATTGTTTTGATTTATGGTTAATGTAAGTTGTTGTATTGTAGCTTTTATATCCATCATTTCTTCTTTAAATTCCGTCTTTAAGGCGTAGACATTATTGCAATGGTGGCCAAAAAGAGAATTTTTAAAATGCATATGTGTACTGTAAAATATAAAAGAGAACATAAATGAAAATATGTGTGCTTTGCACTGAAAAAAATTATATGTTTGTACTTATTTGTGTTATTCATATTATTTGTATTATAAATGAACAACAGAGGGAATATATACATCGATGTATGTATGTATTGACGAAACGATGTATTGATACATATATTGATGTAAGAATGTATTAATGCATATGTTGATGGATTTATGTACATATGTATGTATGTATGTATGTAGTATGTATGTATGTATGTATGTATGTATGTATGTATGTATGTATGTATGTATGTATGTATGTATGTATGTATGTATGTATGTATGTATGTATGTATGTATGTATGTATGTATGTATGTATGTATGTATGTATGTATGTATGTATGTATGTATGTATGTATGTATGTATGTATGTATGTATGTATGTATGTAGTATGTATGTCTGTCTGTATGTCTGTATGTATGTATGTATGTATGTCTGTCTGTCTGTATGTCTTCTGTCTGTCTGTCTGTATGTCTGTCTGTTGTATGTCTGTCTGTATGTGTCTGTCTGTCTGTCTGTATGTCTATGTTCTGTCTGTCTTCTGTATGTCTGTCTGTCGTCTGTCTGTATGTCTGTTTGTCTGTATGTCTGTCTGTCTGTCTGTCTGTCTGTCTGTCTGTCTGTATGTCTGTATGTATGTCTGTCTGTCTGTCTGTCTGTATGTCTGTATGTCTGTATGTATGTATGTCTATGTCTGTCTGTGTATGTCTGTCTGTCTGTCTGTTCTGTATGTCTTATGTATGTCGTCTGTATGTCTGTAGGTATGTATGTATGTATGTATGTATGTCTGTATGTATGTATTATGTAGTCCGTCTATAAGTGTTCAAATGATTAACCGTTAATCGATAAAATTTTGGTGATTAATTGAATGTAAATGACAATACAAATATAATTGCAAATAATTATTTACATAATAAATCTATCTATCAAAAGTATTTATACAAACATACTATATTTGTAACGGCTTTTGAAAATCTTCTCTGTGTATCATTTCATAAAGAGAGCAACTAAATTAAATTGTTTTTGTTTTGTGTATAGTTTGTTTTGTTGCTGAGAACATTCGTATTGCATGTGTATGAGTGAGAATAACACAATACCCGCAGGGGCATGTTTGGCCGCCAATGCATTATTGTTTACATCGTTTAATGACAAATAGTCTTTAAAACGTTTAGCATCATTTTCATTATTCTCTTCGTTTCTTTGCTGTTTTTGTGTTGGACCATGAATGAAAAACAAGATTGTGACACCGACAATTCCGTCATTTTAATGTACTCTTTTACTCTTTTTTCGTGACGTCAACAGTACTTGTTTTGCTATGTTTTAAATGTAAAATACTTACTTTTGTCATGAAATTTGAAAACAAATAGTGAAAAAATAAAAATAAGTAAATTAAAATGTGGTGTGCAGTCAAAAATTGCAATAATAATAATAAAAATCAAAATCGTCTGCAATATGTTTTTTTTAACTTCCCTTCAGATCCTAGCTTATTAAAGCAATGGATAAGTTTTTGTTGCCGCAATAAAAAAATAACGTTAAAACGTCTAAAGTCTGTATGGAGCATTTCAAAACCGAAGACTTTGAAAACAATTTACAATTCGAAATGGGTTAGTATGAAGCAAATGATTTCTGTAATAAATAGATTAGTCCCTATTATATTTAAATAAGTTAAATATTCCTAATAACATAAAACGTAAAATACATTTTATAAATAAGTTTTAAACATAATTATTTACTTTTCTATTATAAATCACATACAATTTTCATATCATACAATCAGTCCTAGGCAGTTAGTTAGTTAGTTGGTTAGTTAGTTAGTTAGTTAGTTAATTAGTTAGTTAGTTAGTTAGTTAGTTAGTTAGTTAGTTAGTTAGTTAGTTAGTTAGTTAGTTAGTTAGTTAGTTAGTTAGTTAGTTAGTTAGTTAGTTAGTTAGTTAGTTAGTTAGTTAGTTAGTTAGTTAGTTAGTTAGTTAGTTAGTTAGTTAGTTAGTTAGTTAGTTAGTTAGTTAGTTAGTTAGTAGTTAGTTAGTTAGTTAGTTAGTTAGTTAGTTAGTTAGTTAGTTAGTTAGTTAGTTAGTTAGTTAGTTAGTTAGTTAGTTAGTTAGTTAGTTAGTTAGTTAGTTAGTTAGTTAGTTAGTTAGTTAGTTAGTTAGTTAGTTAGTTAGTTAGTTAGTTAGTTAGTTAGTTAGTTAGTTAGTTAGTTAGTTAGTTAGTTAGTTAGTTAGTTAGTTAGTTAGTTAGTTAGTTAGTTAGTTAGTTAGTTAGTTAGTTAGTTAGTTAGTTAGTTAGTTAGTTAGTTAGTTAGTTAGTTAGTTAGTTAGTTAGTTAGTTAGTTAGTTAAATAGATAGTTAGTTAGTTAGTTAGTTAGTTAGTTAGTTAAATAGATAGTTAGTTAGATAGTTAGTTAGTTTGAAAGGAGGATGTATATACATCAAATCCGAAGAAATACACCTAGGTCTCTATCGGTGCCTTAGGTGGGAATCGAACCCACCACCTCCGGTCTACCAGACTAGAACACTAACCACTAACCTACCGGAGGCCACAACAAAACATACACTCAGTTCTTTTTAATTCAATAACTTCTTTTAGATAGACATACATACAAAGATAGCTGAAGTAAATCGACTCGATTTAGACTTTAACGTTCACTTCATTTCAATCTAAAAATCTTGCACGAACATGATTGAAATTGTGAACTTTTGCAACTGGCGATCAACAATCTATAAATGCATACATACTTATATGTATTTCTGTAAAAGTTAATAAATTTAGCAAAAATAAATTCATTGATCATTTTATTCTTAATTCTCAATTTCATAAAAACAACTTACTCTCAAGAGAGGAAACAAACCAAATAAATTTTCTCACATAAATTCTTAAAAAATATAATCTTGCGAATTTCCACAAAAAATATTCGTCCCATAAAAATCAACTTAAAATTTTCTTCCCAAAAAAATCCTCTCAAAAATTCCTCCCAAATGTCTGTCATTAAAAAGTGTGCTAGAAGCATTCTATTTATATTACTTAATTTGTATGTTAGTTATGTGGGTTTACACTAAGTATGAGACTTTACGTACGACTAGGCTTGCCAGACGTACTGTTTTCAGCAGTACGCGTACTTTTTTTTAGTAATTGTACTTTTAACTGCATAACCCCTAAAGAAGTACGCAATTGTACTTCTTTTTAGTATTTGTACTTCTTTTTGTACTTTTTTT